CACCTTGGCATCAACCATGATGAACCGCCCATGGTGCACTTCCGGATGATTGGGAACTTGCCCCTTCGTGCTAAGGATATGCCCGTGGAGGCTTCACCTAGCGCCACAACCTTCCGTGCGGAACGGGTCACACTGGATGCCTCGGCACGTCCGAGGGATGGCCGCAACTACCCACTGTGATGCCAGACCGGCACCTCGACCAAAGGGACGAAGGCATCAAGATTTTTGACTTGGACCTTGAGGAACAAGCAAAGAACTTGCTGCACGCCAAATGTGTCATGGTGCCGGATAAGCTCACTACGAGATGCCCACATTTTTCCGTTGGACCAGCCAGAACCGGGACACGTACGACCTGGATTCGGCATGGACTATTTTTGACTCGGTCGAATTTCCCACATCGCCATGGAAAAACGCACCAGCATGCTTGGGAAAGCTTGCTGGGGCGCTGGGAGGGAGCCCCATGGCACGCCATCCTGACCCACCAAGGTGCGTGGGCAGGCAGGCAGCTCCCCCCTATAGTAGGCTAATATGCAAAAACCCGCTCTCCAGCACCGGACATCCTTTTTTCTGGGGAGACATACTCGGTTTTTTTGAGGCTACGGGTCGAAGTTTGACCTGATTTTTAGCACAAGTGCTTATAAAAAGTGGGAGCAAGTGGTCCACAAAGTTTCACGATTTTTCTCCGAGCCGATACTTTTTCATGATTTTCCTAGCCGACGAGCTTTATGTCATTCCCGAAAATTAGAAAATGGGTGTGGACCATGTTTCTTGAGCTGTTCTATTGCAGGAGTTCCAGGAATATTATTCATAAACATTTCCCAGAGTTACGTCCATGTAAGGTCGAGGCATTTACCTCAAATGATTTTCAACCGACGTGCGGCACAATCCATGATGCCCTGACGGACACACGTGCCATGGCTTGGGTGAGTGTGCCATAGGCTAGGCCACGCACCACATGAATAAGGGACTATGTGTGTATCGTGGACTTTGCACCAATTCGACTAATCGCACACACAAGTTGCGGATCCACAACCCTCGAAGAGCAAAGTGGAAAACCAAAAATTCAAGATATCAATCTTGATGAGGCAAGTGATTCCAGATGCAACACATGAATAAGGGACTGCGTGAATTCCTAAACTCTGAAGGGTGAGCCAGATCAGACCCCCCAACACACTTCTAAGAGTCACAAGCCAACAAGCAACACAGTGTCACATGCCCTTATCTTTAACCAAACCTGCACTGAGAGGCCACAATCAAGACCCTCGCTTCCGCCATGGGAACCACCCACAACACACTACCAGATTATGGGACTTACGCCCCTTCGTGCTCTGCATATATGCCCATGAAGGGTTCACCGAGCACCACAACCTTCCGTGCAGAACGTGCCACAGTAGAAGGCACGACAATTCCGAGGGATCCCCGCAACAAACCAACTCTGCACTGTGAGGCCAGGCCGGCACCTCAACAGAACACTTTCCCGAGGGACAAGGCGACAGGAGAAACATTGCTGATTGATTCGACCACGACCGCCCCATGGCTCCAACCGTGTTGAACAGCCCAGGGTGCACTTCCGGATGCTTGGGAACTTGACCCATGCATGGTGCTGCGGATACGCCCAAGAAGGGTTCACCGAGCACCACAACCTTCCGTGAACAACGGGCCTCGGTAGAAGCAACGACAATTCCGAGGGATCCCCGCAACAAACCAACCCTGCACTGTGAGGCCAGGCCGGCACCTCGACAGAACACTTTTCCGAGGGACAAGGCGACAGGAGAAACATTGCTGATTGATTCGACCACGTCCGCCCCATGGCTCCAACCGTGTTGAACAGCCCAGGGTGCACTTCCGGATGATTGGGAACTTGACCCATGGTGCTGCGGCTACGCCCATGAAGGGTTCACCGAGCACCACAACCTTCCGTGCAGAACGGGCCACAGTAGAAGCCACGACAATTCCGAGGGATCCCCGCAACAAACCAACTCTGCACTGTGAGGCCAGGCCGGCACCTCAACAGAACACTTTCCCGAGGGACAAGGCGACAGGAGAAACATTGTTGATTGATTCGACCACGACCGCCCCATGGCTCCAACCGTGTTGAACCGCCCAGGGTGCACTTCCGGATGCTTGGGAACTTGACCCTTCGTGCCTGAAGATATTACCAAAACCATCCGTGCAGATCAGGCCACACATGAACACACGACAATTCCGAGGTATCCGCAACAACCCATCTCGGCACTGTGAGGCCAGGCAGGCACTCAACAGCGCACACTTTCCGAGGGACAGGCAACAGGGACCGTTGCTGATGGCCTCAACCACAAACGCGCCATGGCCTCACCATGTTCAACGCCAAAAGTGCACTTCCGGATGCTTGGAACTTGCCCCTTCGTGCTACGGCCATGCCCATTAGAGCAACCTAGCGCCACATCCTTCCGTGCAGAACGGGTCACACGAGAAGAGCTCCAGTCCATGATGCCCACTGACCCAATCTTCGGAATTGTGAGGCCAGGCCGGCAACCTCATGAAGCACCTTTCCGAGGAGACGAATCGACTGCAGACGATGCCCATGGCTTAACCACTACCGGCTGGCCTCACCCATGTTCAACCGCCTCAGAAAAACCGGATGCTTGGACACTATGTCCCTTCTGTGCTCGGCTAGCCCATTAGCAACCCTAGCCCACAGCCTCCTGCAAACCGGTCCCACACGAGAAGCCATGGCCGTCCGAGGGCCCCAGCAACTACCCATCTATACTGTGAGGCCGGGCCGCCCCTCAACAGAGCACACATAGTCCGGGACGAGCGACTGGCGAGACTTTGCTGATTGCTTCAACCTTGGCCTTGTGGGCTTCACCGTGCTGAACCGCCCGAGTCCATTCGGCGTGCAGGAACTTGCTGGTGCTACGGAAGGGCCACTCAAGGTAATCGTGATGCCACATCTTTGCGTGCCGAAGGTCACACTAGAAGCAATCGTCGCGTCCAAGGGATGCGCACACCCGTTCCGCCGGAGGCCAGGCCGGTGACCTTCACAGGAACATTTCCGAGGGACGGGCGACTGGAGAACTTGCTGAAGTTCAACATGGCCTTTTCACTATGGTTTCGAACCGGTTGAAGCCGCGCCCGTGTTTGACGCGATCAGCAACGTCTCTCCAGTCGCCTCGTCCCTCGGAAAAGTGTGCTCTGTTGAGGTGCCGGCCTGGCCTCACAGTGCCGAGATGGGTAGTTGTGCGCATCCCTCGGACGCGCCGAGGCTTCTAGTGTGACCCGTTCGGCACGGAAGGATGTGGGTCTACGCGTTCCCTTCAGTGGCATATCCGTAGCACTGAGGGGCAAGTTCCCAAACATCCGGAAGTGCACTCTGGGCGGTTCAACGCGGTCGAAGCCAAGGCAAGGCCATGGTTGAAGCAATCAGCAACGTCTCTCCAGTCGCCTCGTCCCTCGGAAAAGTGTTCTCTGTTGAGGTGCCGGCCTGGCCTCACAGTGCGGAGATGGGTGGTTGTGCGCATCCCTTGGACGCGCCGATGCTTCTAGTGTGACCCGTTCGGCACGGAAGGATGTGGGTCTACGCGTTCCCTTCAGTGGCATATCCGTAGCACTGAGGGGCAAGTTCCCAAACATCCGGAAGTGCACTCTGGGCGGTTCAGCACGGTCGAAGCCGAGGCAAGGCCAAGGTTGAAGCAATCAGCAACGTCTCTCCAGTCGCCTCGTCCCTCGGAAATGTGTGCTCTGTTGAGGTGCCGGCCCGGCCTCACAGTGTCGAGATGGGTAGTTGTGGGCATCCCTCGGACGTGCCGAGGCTTCTCGTGTGGACCGTTCTGCACGGAAGGATGTGGCGCTAGGTGTTGCCTTAATGGGCATAGCCGTAGCACGAAGGGGCAAGTGTCCAAGCATCCGGAAGTGCACTTTTGGCGGTTGAACATGGTTGAGGCCATGGCGCGGTAGTGGTTGAGGCCATCAGCATCGTCTCTGCAGTCGCCTCGTCCCTCGGAAATGTGTGCTCTGTTGAGGTGCCGGCCTGGCCTCACAGTGCCGAGATGGGTAGTTGTGGGCATCCCTCGGACGTGCCGAGGCTTCTCGTGTGACCCGTTCTGCACGGAAGGATGTGGCGCTAGGTGTTGCTCTAATGGGCATGGCCGTAGCACGAAGGGGCAAGTTTCCAAGCATCCGGAAGTGCACTTTTGGCGGTTGAACATGGTTGAGGCCATGGCGCGTTTGTGGTTGAGGCCATCAGCAACGTGTCCCCTGTTGCCTGTCCCTCGGAAAAGTGTGCGCTGTTGAGGTGCCTGCCTGGCCTCACAGTGCCGAGATGGGTTGTTGCGGATACCTCGGAATTGTCGTGTGTTCATGTGTGGCCTGATCTGCACGGATGGTTTTGGTAATATCTTCAGGCACGAAGGGTCAAGTTCCCAAGCATCCGGAAGTGCACCCTGGGCGGTTCAACACGGTTGGAGCCATGGGGCGGTCGTGGTCGAATCAATCAACAATGTTTCTCCTGTCGCCTTGTCCCTCGGGAAAGTGTTCTGTTGAGGTGCCGGCCTGGCCTCACAGTGCAGAGTTGGTTTGTTGCGGGGATCCCTCGGAATTGTCGTGGCTTCTACTGTGGCCCGTTCTGCACGGAAGGTTGTGGTGCTCGGTGAACCCTTCATGGGCGTAGCCGCAGCACCATGGGTCAAGTTCCCAATCATCCGGAAGTGCACCCTGGGCTGTTCAACACGGTTGGAGCCATGGGGCGGACGTGGTCGAATCAATCAGCAATGTTTCTCCTGTCGCCTTGTCCCTCGGAAAAGTGTTCTGTCGAGGTGCCGGCCTGGCCTCACAGTGCAGGGTTGGTTTGTTGCGGGGATCCCTCGGAATTGTCGTTGCTTCTACCGAGGCCCGTTGTTCACGGAAGGTTGTGGTGCTCGGTGAACCCTTCTTGGGCGTATCCGCAGCACCATGCATGGGTCAAGTTCCCAAGCATCCGGAAGTGCACCCTGGGCTGTTCAACACGGTTGGAGCCATGGGGCGGTCGTGGTCGAATCAATCAGCAATGTTTCTCCTGTCGCCTTGTCCCTCGGGAAAGTGTTCTGTTGAGGTGCCGGCCTGGCCTCACAGTGCAGAGTTGGTTTGTTGCGGGGATCCCTCGGAATTGTCGTGCCTTCTACTGTGGCACGTTCTGCACGGAAGGTTGTGGTGCTCGGTGAACCCTTCATGGGCATATATGCAGAGCACGAAGGGGCGTAAGTCCCATAATCTGGTAGTGTGTTGTGGGTGGTTCCCATGGCGGAAGCGAGGGTCTTGATTGTGGCCTCTCAGTGCAGGTTTGGTTAAAGATAAGGGCATGTGACACTGTGTTGCTTGTTGGCTTGTGACTCTTAGAAGTGTGTTGGGGGGTCTGATCTGGCTCACCCTTCAGAGTTTAGGAATTCACGCAGTCCCTTATTCATGTGTTGCATCTGGAATCACTTGCCTCATCAAGATTGATATCTTGAATTTTTGGTTTTCCACTTTGCTCTTCGAGGGTTGTGGATCCGCAACTTGTGTGTGCGATTAGTCGAATTGGTGCAAAGTCCACGATACACACATAGTCCCTTATTCATGTGGTGCGTGGCCTAGCCTATGGCACACTCACCCAAGCCATGGCACGTGTGTCCGTCAGGGCATCATGGATTGTGCCGCACGTCGGTTGAAAATCATTTGAGGTAAATGCCTCGACCTTACATGGACGTAACTCTGGGAAATGTTTATGAATAATATTCCTGGAACTCCTGCAATAGAACAGCTCAAGAAACATGGTCCACACCCATTTTCTAATTTTCGGGAATGACATAAAGCTCGTCGGCTAGGAAAATCATGAAAAAGTATCGGCTCGGAGAAAAATCGTGAAACTTTGTGGACCACTTGCTCCCACTTTTTATAAGCACTTGTGCTAAAAATCAGGTCAAACTTCGACCCGTAGCCTCAAAAAAACCGAGTATGTCTCCCCAGAAAAAAGGATGTCCGGTGCTGGAGAGCGGGTTTTTGCATATTAGCCTACTATAGGGGGGAGCTGCCTGCCTGCCCACGCACCTTGGTGGGTCAGGATGGCGTGCCATGGGGCTCCCTCCCAGCGCCCCAGCAAGCTTTCCCAAGCATGCTGGTGCGTTTTTCCATGGCGATGTGGGAAATTCGACCGAGTCAAAAATAGTCCATGCCGAATCCAGGTCGTACGTGTCCCGGTTCTGGCTGGTCCAACGGAAAAATGTGGGCATCTCGTAGTGAGCTTATCCGGCACCATGACACATTTGGCGTGCAGCAAGTTCTTTGCTTGTTCCTCAAGGTCCAAGTCAAAAATCTTGATGCCTTCGTCCCTTTGGTCGAGGTGCCGGTCTGGCATCACAGTGGGTAGTTGCGGCCATCCCTCGGACGTGCCGAGGCATCCAGTGTGACCCGTTCCGCACGGAAGGTTGTGGCGCTAGGTGAAGCCTCCACGGGCATATCCTTAGCACGAAGGGGCAAGTTCCCAATCATCCGGAAGTGCACCATGGGCGGTTCATCATGGTTGATGCCAAGGTGCGGCCGTGTTTGACGCAACCAACAACGTCTCTCCTGTCGCCTTGTCCCTCGGAAAAGTGTGCTCTGTTGAGGTGCCGGCCTGGCCTCGCAGTGCCGAGATGGGTAGCTGTTGGCATCCCTCGGACGCGCCGAGGCTTCTAGTGTGACCCGTTCTGCACGGAAGGATGTGGGTCTACGCGTTCCCTTCAGTGGCATATCCGTAGCACTGAGGGGCAAGTTCCCAAACATCCGGAAGTGCACTCTGTGGGGGTTCAACACGGTCGAAGCCAAGGCACGGCCATGGTTGAAGCAATCAACAACTCGTCTCCTGTTGCCTCGTCCCTCGGAAAAGTGTGTGCTGTTGAGGTGCCGGTCTGGCCTCACAGTGCCGAGTTGGGTCGTTGCGTGCATCCCTCGGACGTTCCTGGGATTCTTGTGTGACCCGTTATTTATGGAAGGAGGATGTGGCGCTAGCTTAAGCCTTTTGGGCTATATCCGCAGCACGAAGCGGCGGAAGTCCCATTGGATTGTGACTAGGTGCAGCCTTTTCCCATGGAAGTTTTTCGGCATGTCGGGTAATTCTGTCCACGCTCTCCTTGGGGTTTCCGTAGCCCGTGGCATCCTGTTTGGCAGACTTAGAGGCGTGATCTTGATCTTCGGAAGTGCGTTTTGGCAGTATTTCGCAGTCGGAAAAATTGTGAGCCTTGGTCCCTATCGATTTTGCCGGTTAACTTTTCTATTTGCGCCCGACGTAGCGGATCCGGCGGCACCATGTCTTTCCATTTGCTAGCTTGCCTTTGGCATTGCCGGGAGTGGTTTGTCTGGTACCGTCGAGTCTCTCTAACGGGAGGGCGTGTGAGTGGCATTTGGGATGTTTGTGCTGTCTGGCTCCATGGTCGTGGTCATCGAACTTTCAGCACACAGCCCTTGTCATGTTCGCCTTGTGTCATTTTGGCCCGGCGTTCGATTATGGTTCTTGTGTTGCCTACCTGTTAAGTGGTATTCACGTGCCTCTTATGACCCGTTCCATCCAGACCCCTCGAGAGGTTGTTGGAGGATTCGGAAGTGATGCGTGTGATGTGTTAGCTGTGCATAGTAATGGCTTGCGTTCTCACACGTGTCTAGTGTTCCCTTGGATGCGGTGCATGCGGCGAACGTGGGCTGACCAGTTTGTCCCGTTGAGTCCCTTTGATTTATCGGTTCCCTTGAATGACACTTTGCCGTGGTGTCGGTCTTGCTTAACCATCCGTGGTGGCAACACTGGCACGTGGAACAAAGTCGTTGATGGATGCTACCTGGTTGATCCTGCCAGTAGTCATATGCTTGTCTCAAAGATTAAGCCATGCATGTGTAAGTATGAACTAATTCAGACTGTGAAACTGCGAATGGCTCATTAAATCAGTTATAGTTTGTTTGATGGTATCTACTACTCGGATAACCGTAGTAATTCTAGAGCTAATACGTGCAACAAACCCCGACTTCTGGAAGGGATGCATTTATTAGATAAAAGGTCGACGCAGGCTCTGCCTGTTGCTTTGATGATTCA